ATAATTGTACTATTTGAGTCATCTTTGCTCATTTAATTCATTTATTTCGCATTACAACTTGAGACTAGACTTGTATAGGGTGATAGACTCGCTATTGTAGAGATGTGACGAGCTACTTAATAATCCGCAGAATAATTTGTGCTTCTCTTATGAATCTCTCATGCGTTGTGTGTACTCATTGCAAACTTTTCCTTAAATCTCATAACTCACACGTGTATTCGTGAGTGGGGTCAAGGACCCATTAAATCTTCTTATTCTAATGTGATCGGGTCGTTCACCTCGGTAGAATTTTGCACCAACTCTTATGGGAGCGGGCCGTTCGCCTCGGCCGTATAATAGATGTATCTATGGTTCATGCCGCTCGACCCTCGGCAGTGTACACATTATTATGGGATCAGGCCGTTCGCCTCGGCAATATCATATTCCTTATGAGATCGGGTCATACGACCTCCGCATAATCGTGCATTATATCGCTAGCAGTCCGAATATTCACGAATTTTTCTTCCACTGATGACTTGCATTTTATATGATATTTCTTATTCATTTGATATTGGCACTTGATATTTCCCGAGCTGTTGAGATAGGATACAAGATTGAGAAGTTTATATCGCTAAAAGAAATTTTGAGAGATTATGCTGGTTACCGTTTCGTCANTTTACGGTGAGTTGCATTCCATGTTACGATCCGCAACATACAGAGTCTCCATCAGAGTTATTTATGTTCTTCTGTCTAACTTGTATACCAGACAGATGTTGTATTATTATTGTACTCCTTAGTAGATGCTCATGAACTTGTGACACCAGGTTTTGGGGATTCCTACCGGATATTCATTATTGTAGTCCATGTAATCATTATCATTTCACCTTCTAATTTATATTTTGTACGGAAATTGAAAAATAAAATCACGGATTTTCTACGAGTGCTAGATTTTACTCTACTTATTTAATGAGATTCATGATTTCGAAAATAATAAAATGAGTAACTAAGTTGATTAATCACCGTTGGCTTGCCTGACGGCGGCGTTAGGCGCTATCACGACCTATAGTGAATTTTGGGTCGTGACATTTATAAACAAATTATTTTCCTTCAAAATAAAAAACACAATCCATATTCAAATTTAAGATCTAACTTTTTCTTAATCTCGGCATTGAATCTTCGAAGAAACCAAATTATGGAGGTTTAAAATTTTCTTTTAAACTTCTCAATTCACATGTAGCGAATAGATCTCCGCTTTAAATCTGGAAAGAGAAGTGAAATATAATAATAATGGTAGAGAAATTATGGGGTGCAAGTCATCAACAATGAAGGAGAAGAAGAAAGAAACAAAGAAAAAAAAAATTAGGAGTGGGTCTTTAATACTTGCTCAAGGGAAGAACTTTTTCCAAGTTATATATAAAGTGGGCTAAATCGAGTAAGAAAGTAAAAGATGGACCAATTTGATGGGAATGTTGTCCCAGAGAGAGTAATTTATTCTTATTCTATATCACTACACAAACTGGAACTTTTAGCGGCCATTTGACGGCCGCCATATGAGATGAAGACAAAAAAACAAATTATTGCGACTTGAAAGTCTCTAAAAATCGTACTTTCCGCCGTTCCAATTTATACTCGTATGTTTAATTGGATACGGAGTTTAAAAAAATAAAATTTTTTGAAATTTATGATCCTAAATAAGTCAAAAAGAAGTCCAGAGTATTTGTGCGGTTATAGAAACTTCTCATTAAGGGTATAAATATAAGTTTAAACTAAATTATTTTCAAATTTAGAAATGGGTCATTCTTTTTCGAACGAAATAAAAAGGAAATAGGTTCACATAAAATAGAACGGAGGAAGTAAGTAGTTAAAACTTATCATGACGCCAGTAGAAGTCGCCACAAAAAATCATTCTTCGTGCCAACTTCTTAGTGGCCACAAATTTACTCATAAAAGTGTTCAAATAAACTCATCCCAAAAAGATCGTCTCGAAAAATAGCATTTCTTGTTCAGGAATTCAATTTCCAAGTATTTTTTGATATTAATTTTAGACCTTTTAAGATTTTTTGGTTCTCGAACTAGCACAATGATCGAAAATTTTCTTAGCCACAAGCACAACATCAATAATGGCCTAAACTCCACGTGATACTCTTAAATGTGAGGAGTTGCTAAATCATTACACATGGTATGTAGCATGTACAATGGACTACACAATGTTAATGATTGGTTCTTCGGCCATTACAATAGTCGGTGCAAGATAACTTCTGCAAGCAAACTCCAAAAAATTATGGTTGCTTATTTCTCTCTTTTTTCTAATTAGCCCTTGAAGCGAAAAAATAGATGAATAATGGTATTGGAGAGAAATATATTTATTGATTTTTCCTTTTATTAGTACCCTTGTGAATACCACACGCTTGCTTAACATGATTTTTGATTGTATAAAACAAGAGTTTTTTTGTTTGTTTGCTTCAAGCATTTGGTGTCCGGCCGAGATTACTGGCTCGACTAATCTGGATTCTCGCTCTATAAAGATTACTATGGAGTTTTAGTGCTAGGTATCCAAAATGAGTCAATTCCCAAAATTTGAACCCGAAACCTTAATTAAAAAGTACAAGAAACCTTTTCCATTTCACCGTAGTCCCTTCGATAGTATAAAACAAGAGTATTGCTATATAATAAGGTATATTCAATCTGATAAAATAGTATAAACTATTAACAATAGTTTAGCATCAAAATTAGTGTTAGAATTGACCGAGTAACACACACCATTATAAAATAGCAAAGGACAAATTAATAATCTAGCCCTCGAAGATAAGTACAGACGTCTCTGTATCGATCCGCAAGACTCTACTAAATTTGTTCGTGACTCGTAAAATCTATGAACTTTAGTCATTATTAATCCTGACAACATTTGTTGAACTGAAATAACCAAGTGATCCCCCATAATATTGTAAAAGGTCTCCTGTTTTACACAGCAAAGGGACAAAAAGAAGAAATAAAATAGTGATTTATAGTATTTAGTTTCCATATATAGCACACAGTTAAGAAAAAGAGAGGAAACATTCGAACTAAGGAACATGGAACAGGAAATGGGATAATTCTCTGGCTTTCACATAATAGGCATAAAGTGTAAATATTAAATAGGACTTTGAGAATCCTAGAGATCAAAAAGAATGATACAAATAAAAAAAATATGCTCTATTATCAGTCAAAATATATGAAACGACAGACATTCGCCTCCACCATGCACATTTTCTAATTTTTTCTGTTTTGCTTAGTCCTTGTTACAAACTACAAGCTCGTCGTTTGTCCCCAGAAGTTTTTGTTCTATTTCTCCGATAATAAATTCAAATTTTGTCCTTCTGTGATACTGCTATTCTAATAATTCGGTCATTCTGTTTTGGAGCTGATAAACTAAGAGCTCTTTTAAGTTGTTCTTATATATGTTTTGTTTATTGGAGAAAATGTGCAACATATACTCTTTCGAATAATAAACTGGTGGAGAAAACTTTTTGAGGAAATAATTAAGATATAACTATGTTACTAATAACAAGAATATACAAATTGTGCTTAAACGTGTTCTGCATAATATCATTTTTGGCATATACAAATTCCTCTTTTATGTTTTAGAAATAGAAATCTCTCACGTAAATTGAAAAAGGATCCTCCTAGAGGATCAATATGAATCGACTTTACATACCACTGATAAAATACAGTTAAACCTCTCTATAAAATCATCCATATATAACAGTCATTCATTATAAAAGTCAAGTTTTCCTCGAAACCGATTTTTTAAGTTATATTTTACCTCTGTATAACAATTTTTTACCTATAACAATAATAACCATATTTATATATAGCAGGACGCTCTTTGTAAAATTACCCCTCTATAACAGCCGTATAGAATTTTTAAGATTTCTATTAATAATTCTTAAAATATGCACTCAATCTTTTCCATTAAACAAAGTTTCCATCTTGCATAAGATATAAGATTTGAAGATTTGCACATGATATCTTTTCCATTGAAGAAATTTCAAAAAATATTTAGATAGAAAATTTAACTGTTAAGCTCTTAGATTGTCTTCAAGAAAAAACTATTGGATACTTTTTTGCCGAAAATTTGGATCCAAATCTTCGCCAATTCAAGCGTTATATTGCTAGTGAGAGAATAAAATCTACGAAACAAGTTATAATTATAAAGTTCTCCCATCAATCTTGAAAGAATTTATTTTTCTAGGTAGCTTTAAAATGTCTCCCTTAGAGTTTTAATCTTTATACGTTTAGTTATAAATTTATTAATAATGTATTAGCTTTCTTCAATATTCTAACTAGTGAAATATGCATATCTTTTGAGATTTTAAATTTGAATAATTTTCTTATCTTTTATATGTAACATTAAAAAAGGAAAAATAATCGATTTTTGGATAAGTTTTATCTATAACAGCCAAAACATATTTAAACGTCAACATTGTTATAGGTATATAACAAAAATTCACTATAAAAGACAAAAAATATCATAACAAACGAGGCTGTTATAGAGAGGATTGACTGTAGGTACGTCGTCCGTACCTTTTGTGTTGTAACAGGATACATGTCTTATTTTCAGGTTACTAATTCCACTTATTATGGAAGATTACTAGTAATTTTCTTTTTTGTCAACTTATTAGTGTTAAAAGTTAAACTCTTTAATAATTTTGCAAAATATGATAGTCCAGCTTGTTTTAGAATTTTGCATTTTCGCATTTTTACATAAGGTGTTTCCTTTTTCTATTAAAAAACGACTGAATATTTTGAAGTTTTGGTCCATATCTAATAATTCTCCACATATAGCTTCGTTAATAAACAACTCGGAGAAACCATATATAGTGCCACCGAACCTTTTCCCATCGTCCAATTGTATGATTAAAGGAATTTATTTGGGATATTCATGTCCCTATTGTCATTAAATTGAAAGGGAGTGACCACCACCCTAGCTGTGCACCAAATATATACCCAAATAATTCCTCTATATAAGGATCTTCCTACAGCCAAACAATTCAAGAGAAACCACTAAACTTTTTGAGTTTCCAAAGTTTTTGGATAACTTTTCCCTTCCTTTTTCCTTTCAAAAAATGGCTCCTTCCATTTCCATTGATTCCAATACAAACATGAATTCAGAAACAGAAAACAAGAACAAGGCCATAGTGAAAACTCTGTACAAGGCATTAGCTTGTACATGTGGTGACAGTCCTAAAAACGTACTGGGGCCTAATATTTGCTCATATATTGCCGATGATTTAGAATGGTGGTTTCATGGACCACAGAATTGTCATTATATGATGAAAATGCTCACTGGAGAATTGTCAAATCAGAATTGTTTCAAGTTTGAGCCAAGAAGTGTTGATGCAATTGATGATGATCGTGTGATTGTTGAAGGATGGGAAGGTGCAAAGGCTTATTGGGTACATGTTTGGACATTGAAAGATGGTGTTATTACTCAGTTTAGGGAGTATTTCAATACTTGGCTTACTGTGACTGAGTTGAGGCCTATGGGATGGGTAAGATCCTCTACCACGTTGTGGCAGAGCCACCCTCGAGACCTCGCGAAGAGGTCATTACCGGGGCTTATGCTAGCCATTTGACGGTGGTGAATGGAACGAGGAAAACACTTACTCATATGCGGAATTTACACAGGATCACATCATTTAATCATGGTTAGGTGATAAAGAAATATATGTAAAAAGACGCATTCTACTGTGATTAATTGATGGCAACATTAAATATGGTAAGTGTTTTATATGGTGAATGCATGTTTTATGTAGTATAGCCCATTAGGAAAAAGAAGCCAACGACTGATTACCTTTTTCCCTTTCCTAAATGTGAAAAATGGAAATGTAAGAAGTTTGGTTGTATATCCAACTGATTATATATGGAAATATTGTACGTATGAATTGTTGGTTAAACATGTTATATTGATCATAGTTTCATGTTAGGAAACACTACATCATATGAGGTTTTCCGTGGATACTCTACGTGGCAACTCCTTTAATCGCCACAAAACGTAAGAACATTCGACTTAAAAAAGATACCACAAAAAGTGATAGTTTTAATGACTACTCATGTAGCCACCATGAAAGTAACATTTTAGAGGCGATTATACTTAACTTGCCATGAATATTTATTAAATTTGTTTTTCCCTGCAAATAATAAAATTTGGTTAAAGTCGTCATAGAAAGTAATTTTTTTGTGGTTATTGATCACTTTTACGGGTTGCCATAAATACGTTTCATTGACTTTTACAGGTCGCCATAAATAAAATTCTAGGCATCTGTAAATAAAAGCTGAAACTAGTTGAATGTTATGGGTTCTAACTTGATAATGAATTAATTCTAAGTCAAGCATCTGGACGATCGAGGTCTATCATTTGGTTCAATGTGATACTAATTGCCTTGGTCCTATATGAAATACAAGGGTCCTTACTACTTATCCGAATAATTGCTATAAGGCAACAAAATAACGAGCATAATCCAATACAAAGCGATTGTTATTATCTTGGATTATAAATATGGTCTATCATTTGGTTCAATGTATTGGCGATTAATTTGATATACAGTGCATCAACTAATCATGTGCTTAGTTTAGGACCGGATTTACCTTTGTTTCTATAACTGTCGTGTCATAACATTTTCTCTTCCTGGTCTCACCTATTACACATTCGGACTGAATCAGCTTTGTATAATCACTTGCATAGATATGGTCTACCATTGCACTTTCTACATAAAGAAACTCTCGACAATAACCATAATAATGTCCTTGTTTCATGACTCTGTTTCAAGAGTACTTGGGGAATTGAAGTTCTAGTTCTGCAAATATTAGCATCCATCACACAGTAATAGAGGGCCACAGTTGTCGTATCTTTTCACATGTTTCAGTATCTTATGTGCAAGACTAATATGTCTAGATAGTCCCATGTTTAATCAACAAGTGTAATGTTCTATATTTGGATAACTAATCTCCCCTTAACATTTATCTAAGTGCATGGTATTGGGATGAATATATCTAAGCACTTCAGATGTATTAACTTCAACAGCGCACTACTACCAAGTTCTTTAATCAAAGAAGTTACAGAGATGAATTTGCAACTACCTGACTTTCAACATTTTTTTCTACCTGAGATGTCATGGTTGTGAGAATCTCGATGCCTGCAAACCTGGTAAAGATGACCAAAATTTTCATGACAAAAGGGAAAAAGCACTTTTCTGTGTTGGTTTTTTAATGGTCAAAGTATGTTCTGTGTTTAATTTTTAAACCAGCTTGTGGTAAGAGAGATGAAATTACAATTTTCCGTCAAAAATCTTGGAAGTTTATCAATTCTCTAATTTAGTTTATTAAACTTGCTCTAGCATGTAAATTACATACGATATATGCCAGTAGAGACCTGAACTGAGACAAAGATTAGATATAGTGGTGTGACCATTCAAGAAGTGATACATATGGTTATGAAACAGCTATGTTTTACGATTTCCTGAACACTCGTGGAAATGGGGAATTAACTCAGCTGAAATTTGTTACAAGTATATTTGCTTATTGAAAATTAAAGGAAGATGTATCCTTCAACAAAATCTTAATAAGGACTTTCTTATCAACTCCCGGCCGCCACAGAATATGAGTAATGTCTCATTGGTTGACTAGGAATAACGGCTTAATTTTTCAAGTTCAGCAAAGGTCCAAAATCAAAACCAACGCTCTTTAAGAAGTTTAGCACAAGTGAGTAAGTAGAAAAAAGATTAGCAACATGGAGAAGACTAATGCACCTCATAAGTAATTCCCTTAGCTTTCTGCAGAGAGTCAGTAAAACCATATGAACTATTAACTCCAATGCTTGATCCTTATCTAGTTGGATTTACTAGCATTTCTAGACAAATCCTAGATCGTCAAAGAGTAGAAGTCTCTCCCACTCACACATAGTGGGTCAACTCTTACACATATTTCGTAACTTTCATACATAACGATAGACCATATGACCAATACATACTTCAAGAGCTTCACTGCTATACATCGATTAGGAATATATAGCTTCTCGATTTAATGGAACATGAAATAGATAATAGTATGCAGTACCCTAAATCATTTATCACATTCATATCCCACAATCTCTTTTGTCTTAATTTGAGTTCTATCATTATGTTTTTGTCCAAAGAACAAATATAATGGATCGGTCAATGATACTTAATGATCTTCCTCATCTCATGAATCTCTCAATCTCAATATGATATGCTTTTCTAGAGATGTTCCGCCAGACCGAATCAAACATGATCTCTTGGTAGCACTTTAAGATAGCAAACACCAAACTGAATCTTAAGAAACTTCAAGTTGGAATGCACGAGAGGATATGTTTTTTCATTGCCCGACTCCTCAGGAACCTCAAAGTCGAACAATGAAGGGACTAGATATACTGGGCATGGGACTAGGACGCCAGCCAACACCCAAAACTTGTAATTTTCTCCAAAAATCGCCTAAAGGCAAAAATGATGTAATTGCAACAACAACGTTTGAATAATAAAGATGCACTTCTGTCAAAACTACTCTCCAAAAAGGTACGTTCGGCCAGCTCGAACAACATATATTTGCCCTTGACCTCGACTTAACTTAAAGGTACGTTCGACCAGCTCAAACAACACCTATCGCCCCCTGGCCTCGACTTCACTTAAAGGTACGTTTAACCAGCTCGAACAACATCTATCGGCCCCTGGCCTCGACTTAACTTAAAGGTATGTTCGACCAGCTCGAAAAACACCTATCCGCCTCTGGCCTCGACTTAACTTAAAGGTACGTTCCACCAGCTCAAACAACACATATTGGCCCTCGTCCATGACTTAACTTAGAGGCACGTTCAACTAGTTCGAGCAATACCTATCGGCCCTCGGCCACATCTCAACTAAGAGACATACTCAACTAGTTTGAACAAGGGCCGATATAGCCCACGCCTATCCAGCCCAAAGGCTACAACCACTAGAGTATAACAACAAGAGGTATAAAGAAGCAAAATGCGCAAGTACAGAAGCAAAATGTGCAAGTACAGAAATAAAACATGCAAGTAGAGAAACAAAACGCATAGATAAAAAAGGTGCATGTAAAACAAAAGTCAACTTTGATATTCAGATGAAGATTTTTTACAAAAGTGCACGAAGACGCCAACAAAATACAAAAAGTTATACAGAAACTAAAGCAGAACACCTAGTGGCCATCACTGCTCCGATCTCTACCATCCACTCCTTCCCCGCCTCAACCATAAGCAGCATCACGCCAGGCTCTGTCCGCAAGTTGGTCCACATCCCCATCACCTTCCTCAGAGTCAGGTTGAGGCATATCAGTGTCAAAGTCACAGGTGAGCCGGGTCTCACGAGATTTAACTCGAGCCTCCTCTATGGACGTCTAAAAATTACAGCCCGTCTTCTTCAAATCGGGAATAACGTCCAATCGGGCTTCATCAAGGATGAAATTTTCATACCTTTGCTGGGGAATGTTAGGAAATTTAGAGGCATGAGACGTAGAGGGCCGCTCGGTCAGCCAGGCGCTCTCGGCCTGAGCAGCAGAAATCTGCTCAAGCACACGAGCGTTCTTAGCCTCGACAGCAGAAGCTCGCTAGAGCAACTCAGAGTTCTTCTTACCCAGCTCCCCAATTCTCCCTTCGAGGATAGCTTCCTTAGCCTCTACAGCTGACTGGATGTTATCTCGTTCAAAACGGTCTGTTCGCCAACTCGAGGATGTCCACCTTCCTCCGAGTATCCAGTCGAGAGAACTCCGCCTGTTCGAACATCTCTTGTTTCTCAGCAACCTCCCCATTGAGAGCATCCACATGAAATCGGCACTCATCCAACTAACTTTGCAGTTAAACCACCTGATTCTGGATGTCGTTACATTGGGTCTCCACACCCGTGCTCAATTCGAGCTCCTCCTTCCTCTTCAACGCCCCCTCAAGGATGCTGGACCTCTCCACAACTAACATCAACTCCTCATCTTTCATTTTCAGCTCCTCCTTCATGGCCGACTGATGGTAGGCTATAATCCCAAATTTTAATCGCTTATTGCACTTTAATTCATTGCACTTCACTTGTGTTGAGCTTTAATTGGTAGTATTTTGCACTTATTGTGTGTTTTATGCCTTGTAGGAGTGATTCTGAGGTATATGGATGTTGTGGAGCTAATTCAAACTATTTAGAGTTTTGAAGTCTAAGTAGAAGCCCAAGGAATTAATCTGGGATCGTGCTCGGGGGTCGAGGACCAAGTCTAGACATCAAAAATCAAGGTTGAAGTCATACTCTAAGGAAACTACACTACTACGGTGCGTGGGGCGGTGTGCCGCAACAGTGTAAATTCTGTTGCCTGACAAGTGTGAGCTCTCTAGATTTGTCCACTAATACCCCACGTGGCCCGTCGCCCCATGCGACATGCCTGTTCATTTTTCCCAGAGCTATTTTCCTATTTCGGCTAGGAAAGGGTGATTTTGTCCGGGCCCGACCCTACTTGGTGTAAATACATGAAAACATATTATTTTCTGGACGTTTGACATACTTTCAACCTAAGGACACTAAGGCGGAGTTGGAAGAACACAAGCACAAGGATTTCATCATTCCTTCCTCACTCAAAACTTGAGTTTGCATCAGATTTATGTTTTCCTATACTTTAATTATATTTCTGATGATTTTCTCCATGTCTATGGAGTAGTTCCCTTTAGGGTTTGATGGATCTGGTGTATTGATGATTGTTTGTAGATTATAACTCTAGTTTTATGTATTGAATCGTATTGGAAGATTTAATTGTTGCATCTATATTCACTAGTTCATGTAATCGGGAGAGGCATAACTTGTGATATCTTTGCATTATATTGTTAGTTGAGTTAATAGATTCTTCTAAGTATTCGAAAAAGGCTAGTTGAATCATTGATTAA